CCAAAGTCTATTTATTCAGCACCCTCATCGTCGCTCTTCTCAATTTCGAAATCGAAATAGGGTAAGTAATGACGATGATGCAAGGGTGAAGCCGAATCAATGCCCACGGCTTCGAGAGCTTTCTCGGTTTGAAGGCCCTTGATCCAGCCGTGCTTGAATCAACGATTTTCACATTGGCAGACCTCCTCGGCAAGGTCTCATTTGGTCTTCTCTATCCCGACCTTCAGGCCGTCCTGAAATCCCTTTTCATAACCCGAGGTCCATTGGGTCACTCTCTCTTCAACGACCAATTTAGATTGACCGGCCGCCACCGACGCGCTCGTTTGAACATTCTTTAGCTCCCGAAGCTCATACTCAGCCTTTTCTGCGCGAATCTCCAGACTACGATTCTTTTCATCTTTTTTCTCACTCTCACGTCGCACTTCCCACAGACGCATGCCGACTTCGTAAGCAGTATATAGTCCTTTCACGGCCCCATGTATGCCGTCTCGAAATACTTCAAAATCTTGACGTCCGACCATCCATTGTTGGACTTCCGGCGGGAAGATCTGTCGAGCGAACTCGACTGCCACACCTGGGTCTTTAATGATAGAATCCGTCTCCGTCATTGGTCTATTCCTCACAAAAATCGCAAAACTCAAAGGTCGTGGCGTCGCATCGGGCTCGATTCTCGGTCGCGGGCGCAGAGAATTTCTCCGTTGTTGCCTGTCCTTTCGGGGCGATCTGCTTCGACGACTAAGGGGCTACTGTGTTTCCCGATCCTTGAACGTTCTTCTTCCCGTACGCATAGGCTCTCTACTGCGACTCATTGCGGTGTCTAATTCAGCCAATCTTCGTCCCTCCCAAGTTGCCTGAATGGAAATATGCAGGGCCTCTGGCGTGCATCCGCCCCATTTATCCTTCAATATATACAGCTCTCCCGAGGCAACGTCAGTAATCCCAAACGTTAAGAGACGGATGACAATTGTCCAGCCCACGAGTTAGGCCCATTTGGCTTCCCAAGCTGGCGCCCTGGCTAAGGCAAGGGCAGATTTACTAATCTGGTCAAGGGCAGATTTACTAATCTGGTCGGCTATGTTTTCAAGCGCAAGCGCCGATTAATCTGTGCCTCAGCTAGCCCACGAGTTAGGCCCATTCGGCTTCCCAAGCTCGCGCCCTGGCTAAGGCAAGGACAGATTTACTAATCTGGTCGGCTATGTTTTCAAGCGCAAGCGCCGATCAATTTGTGCCTCAGCCAGCCCACGAGTTAGGCCCATTCGGCTTCCCAAGCTCGCGCCCTGACTAAGGCAAGGGCAGATTTACTAATCTGGTCGGCCATGTTTTCAAGCGCAAACGCTGATCAATCTGTGCCTCAGCCAGCCCACGAGTTAGGCCCATCCGGCTTCCCAAGCTCGCGCCCTGGTTAAGGCAAGGGCAGATTTACTAATCTGGTCAAGGGCAGCTTTACTAATCTGGTCGGCCATGTTTTCAAGTGCAAGCGCCGATTAATCTGTGCCTCAGCCAGCCCACGAGTTAGGCCCATCCGGCTTCCCAAGCTCGTGCCCTGGCTAAGGCAAGGGCAGATTTTCTAATCTGGTCAAGGGCAGATGTACTAATATGGTCGACCATGTTTTCAAGCGCAAGCGCCGATCAATCTGTGCCTAAGCCAGCCCACGAGTTAGGCCCATTTGGCTTCGCAAGCTCGTGCCTTGGCTGAGGCAAGGGCAGATTTACTAATCTGGTCGGCCAAATACCTAAGCTAAGCAGCCGATCTAACCATAACCGAAAGCAATATCATTCATCAACAACATTTTCCTTAGCAAGTTGAGCATAACTCATAAAATTTTATATATGCAAATTACTAAACAAAAAGCTACAAGCTCGCATGAAAATGCCTAGCAAAAAACTATGACTGTAGCAACACATGAAAAATACCAAATTAAAAACTGGAAAAATAAATTCGACATCCTAAAAACTATGTTAGTCGCCCAGATCATTCATCGGAATCAGACTCCAATGGCTCAACATCCACTTGCTCATATGGTATTGGCATAATCAATGAAACTTTAGCAGCAACAAGGGCTTTGTGCCAGCCATGTTTGAATCCCCAATTTTCAAACTTGGGGATTGGTCCAAATACTCGGCGAGTCCAACATTTTTCCCGGCCTTAAACACTTTGGAAGCCTCCGAGTCGGTTGTTTCCTTCGCCGCCTTCATTTTAGCCAACTCAGCCTCCAGTTTGGAGACCGCCTTCTGGGCCAATTTAAGAGCATCTTCGCTCGCGCCCGCCTCCTTCTCGGCATCCGATCTCAATTGATCCGCGCTACGAGCCCTCTCCACCTCGGCCTCGGCCCTTGAAGCTTCCTTGTTCGCCCTCAAAGCTTCGACTTCGGCCCTTCTCCTTTGGCCCTCAACTTCCTTTCGTAAATGACCAATTTGTTTGACGGCGTCGCGATGGCGACGGCCCATATCGGCTATCCTTCCGATGGTCTGCAAAACAAGAATTTAAAACCATAACTTCAACAGTATTTGGATTAAGTGAAGCAAAGTCCGAATATGTACCAAAATTGCTGATTGGGTGGCTAGTGCTGTCGTATTTAGATCTGGTTCCACCCGAAAAGCCTCCCTATCAGACGGCAACGACACGGACGTAGCCAAGCTGAATGTGACTTTTGGATCTTTAAGTGCCGAAGCATCAAAGAAACCGGCATGTTTTTTTATCATCGGATGTACCAAAATTGCTGATTGGGTGGCTAGTGCTGTCGTATTTAGATCTGGTTCCACCCGAAAAGCCTCCCTATCAGACGGCAACGACACGGACGTAGCCAAGCTGAATGTGACTTTTGGATCTTTAAGTGCCGAAGCATCAAAGAAACCGACATGTTTTTTATCATCGGCTGAATGACAAAACGAACGATCACATTCGATCCCTCTAATCGAGGACGTTTGCCGCCTTGTTCTTCTGAGCCGGCCTCAAACTTGGCAGGGCGTTTCTCTGCCTCTTCCTTAACTTCTTGGCCGGCCTGCGAGATCAAAGTAGATTTGGCATTCCAATTTTTTGCCGTCTCCACCTCAATAACGCGCAAGGACTCTAATTCGCTAACAGGCAGGGAGAGTTGAGATTCGGTGACGGGTGGTACTTCAACGGAAGGGCCTTCGCTCTTCGCTGTGCGGCCAACCTTTCCGCATATGCCTTCCTGGCAAGTTTCGTCAGGCTTAACCCAGCCATGTCTTCGGGGCCTGCGGCGGGAAGATCCTTTAAGCCGTGAAAAACACCGTCAAGTGAAAGATCCCCTCAGCCCGAAGTGGATGGAGGATCGGCCGAATTCAATACCTCGTCAGACTCGGTTTCATACTGATCTGATTCGGTAACATTAGCTACATCCCACTCCGAATCAGACCCTTCAAAACCAACCTGCCTCAAGTTTTTGAAGTCGGATAAAATAAGAGCAATAAGAGAATCTTCACCCTCCGGAACTGGGATATTTTTCGCCGCCGAGAAAGTCATATATGTCGGCTCGTAATGAAGCAGAACGTGGGCCGCCCTGCCTTGTTTCTGAAGACTTTGACGGTCGAAATACTTGAGCGCGACTTTGATATCCGAAAGAACGGCGTCATCAGTCAAAGACAGGACTTTTTTCAAATCGTTCCCTGTACAAGCCAAGCCGTAACATTTCAAAGAAGAGGCTTTTGCAACAAAAATGAACAAATAATAAAAGCGAGAAGGCAATCGGCCACCTGGCTTGCCCCTCCGTCTAGGAATAGGGTTAACGTGATCCTCCCATTCGCCAAATTCCTAGTTACTCTGGACAACGACCATTACATCATCAACTCGTTTCCCAGAACTGGAAAGCATAGTAATTAGCTGATGGTCAATATCCTTGGCCCTAAGGAAGAAACGCCCGTGCCGACCAGAAGATTTAGCCAAGGCATAGCAATGCCGGATGGCTGGAATGCCAAGGTTAATTCTAAGGCGACGGCTGAGCGCTATAACCCCCATTATAATTCTAAAGAAATTCACATTGAATTGGGAAGGGATTAAACCCCAATGGCGAAGCACAGCCCTAAGAAACGGGTGAAGGGGAAAACGGACTCCACCCTCTGCGATTGACAAAAGAGGAAAGACAATCATGGTTTTTTCCACCCTCTCCATATCAAGAGTGTCGTCTGCCATAAACGACAGACGAACATCATCAGGAATGGAGAAATGGCATCTAAAGCCAGCAATTCGATCTGACGAGAGAAGGTCTTTTAAATGTTTCGCCATACCCTACAGTTTATAAGAATATGCCAAGTAAGGAATAAACCAGAATGAGTCTTCGAAGCAAGGAAGGAGAGAACTTACAAAGGACGAAGAGGATATCGGAGAAGAGAGTTGCAGGGACGATTTAAAAGGCAATCCAGCGACGAGTGTCATAAAATACATACTCGAAAGGACGTCAAAATTTTAAATCGCAAAAAATAGACATGTATGAGGGGGTGGGAAGTCAACACGACAACCGAAAGGGGTGTACTTAGATATCCATATGAGGATGAGACCAACCGCCGAATTTTAGCTCTGACTTTTCGAAATTCAGAACCAAGCACTCCAGCCAACTGTCGTTGGTGAAGTGCTTGGGGGCAATTGTGGGAGCCGGATAAATGAAAGAGTCGGAAGGTGCGTACTCCAGAAATCAGATATTATTCGGCTCCATATTGCGTGACGAGGATGTCGAATACGTTAGGAAGGCCGAATAGCAGGAGATCAGTAGCTCCGAATAAATAAAAGGGGAATGGGATAAAAGTAGGCTCAGGCCCCGAGGCCTAAGAAGCAAGTATAAATACAAGAACCACTGATTTAGAAAGGTATATAACAATCACTTTTTGCTTAACTTAGAAGACAAGCTATTTTGAGTATAAGAACTGACTTGTCCGTCGGAGTGCTAATTCCGGCACCCCCGACCGGAGTGTTTGTATCTTTTCAGGTGACTAGCTGAGGATCACTAGCGTCTTCCAGGATCTGAAGAGTATTTTCAAACCACTTCTCTACAATTATCAACAAGGATATTAGCTCCCTGACAAAAGCAAGCCCTTTATCATACATAGATATAGACATATAGACATATATATATATATAGAGAGAGAGAGAGAGAGAAGTTTTATCCTTGTTAAGAATCATTTGCAGGAAGGTGAAGATACCTTAATGTCCCTGTGCATTATTCCATTCCTGTAAGGGTATTCCACTCCCAATAACAATTGTTTTGTGTACATTCTAATAACCTGCTCAGCATACAGATTCAGCAAGAATATAAAAAAAAAAACACGCAAATTACATAGTATAGAAGCAAGGTTTTCAAGTTTTGAGTGTAGCTTTTCATCTCATGTACATTCTCATAACCTACTTGGCAAACAGGTTCTAGGAGAAATTTCAAATGTAGCGATTACTAGATCTATGTCCTTAGTTTGGCAAGATATATTATCTTCTATTCTGTCAAATGTTGATCTGCACTTATTTTTTGTTGAAAATTTTAAAATTGTGATTGGTAATGGTGAAACGACACACTTTTGGAGAGACAAATGATTGGTGATTGGAAAGTTGGAGGATGTCTTCCCTAGGCTTTTTAACTTATTACAGGCTAACGATGGCTCCTTGAAGTCTTTTGTTCAAACCAGAGATGCAGCTGGAGGGTGGCAGTTCTCATTCAAAAGACCTTTAAGAGCCTGGGAAGAGGAGGAGGTTAAAAGGCTTATTGAGGTATTGGAGGATGTTCCCAATCTAAGGATCAATATTGATGATCAAGCTTGGTGGAATGCAGAACCATCGAGCTCTTTTTCTGTTTCCTCTGCCAGAAGATGGTGTGAGTCTGCTCAAGGTCCATCTCTTAGGATTACTAAACTGCTGTTGGGTAACGGTGCACCACCAAGAGTGAAATTTTTTGGTTGGTTGGTTGGCCTAAAAAGGTAGAGTGAAAACGGCTTTCTATCTTCAAAGAATTGGAGTTTTGGATCCCAATGTGAACAATTATTGTCTGTTTTGCAGGGAGAATGTGGAAACTGTCAATCACATCCTTGTCACGACCCCAAACAGCCCCTAGTAGTTTGGTGCGGTGATGGCCAGTAATCGGAGATTACCGAAGGCCATCTTTCAAAATTCACACACAGACAGAGTATAAATATATATGGGGCTCACAAGTGTTGAAGTAATAATTTAAAAAAAAATACAAGTGGTCCATAAGAGCAGTGCGTAAGTTACATGGAATGGCATACAACTTTACATAATATTACAACTTGGATACAAATACAATAAAGTATAAAATACATTTTACATCTTGATCAAAAGGCTTCTCCAGCCGACATGTGTAAATTACAAGCATTATAAGCCGAGAAGCATAATTTTCAAGACTGCCGACATGAATACAAGTTAGGCCGACATAACAAAAAAACCCCAAAACAAGTTTGTGAGTCACACCTAGGCATCACCGCCTTCCTGCTCATCACCTACATATATATATATAGAGGGTGAGCTTGGATACTCAGTGAATGGTATAAGAAATAAAGGGGTTTGCATGACTGGTATTCAAGATCTTTATCAAACAATACATAACATAGTTGGTACAAGTCAAGGGATGAACCAAGTCCATCTTCCAAATCTGTCAAGTTTCAAAGGATGCTTACTAACATCATTATAATACAAGTGATGACATCTCGGCAAACAAAACCCACGCGGTAAACCGTCAGTGGCAAACAAGACAAGACAAGGCAAGACAAGGGAGATATCTCAATTCAATGGTGTCGTTGCATTATAGTCCCCGGACACTAAGGACTTGTGCTACTAATGCTTAGAGTCCCCTAGCACGTACGGACTTCCAAACTTTGTGCTACAAATGCTTATAGTCCCTTAGCATGCACGGACTTCCAAACTTTGTGCTACAAATGCTTATAGTCCCTTAGCATGCACGGACTTCCAAGAATGTCATCGAAACAAGATAGTATGTATATTTTCCAACTAGGAATAACCATTCATGCTTACAAATACTTTTCCAAGACTTAGCAAAACAAGACTTTTATCAAAGCATTATAACATAGCTTTATTAAAAATACCACTCACTTAGTTCTTCAAACATCGGGGTCGAGGCAAGTCCAAATCCTACAAACACAGGGCAAAGTTTATTGAATGCACTTTCAAACAAGTTTCATATGCATGCAAATGATCTCAGCATTCCTCAAGACTAAGTCAAATCAAAACAAACACAATTCTTTATCTCGGAAAAACATGCTGGGTGACTACCAGGTCTAGGCCGAGGTCCCACACCTCCTTGCCGAGGTGTTGCCTCGATGGCCACATTCAAAGGAATGAAGTCGGGAAAAATCTGGGTTTCCCTCTCTCTTGAAGAACACGATGAACATGAAGAACATGAACATGAGGAAGATGAATGCAAAGATTGTGATTTGCTATTACAAAATCTGAGATTTCATGCTATGTGTTCAAAAACATGGACCTGGGTACCCATATCCAAGGATCTAGTGAGAACAAACACAAAAACATGAAACTTAATGCAAACTTTCAAATCAAACAAGACCTTTCTTTCAAGAACACATGAACACCATTTTCTCTTTCTAAAACCAACTTTAAATCGATGCATGACATGCAAAAGGGTTCGATCATGAATGCAGCTAGATGATCAATAAGAATGACAAGAGTAGATCAAGTATCTAACCTCAATACGCGAATCTAATGGTTTGATCTCTAGAATCAAGCTCGAAACCCACTCTCTCACTCTAAACTTCTTCTTCTTCTTCTAGAGCTTCTCTCTCCTCACAGACAAAGACATATAGCAAATGATACATTTCTAAGTCTGCTGGCTGACTTAACCCTCTACAGAGGCATGTGGCAGCGGCTGGTTGGTGCTACACAGAAAGGTGGCTGAGTGACAAGACAAAAACTATGACAAAGTGTGTTCAACAAGCAAGACGGCATGGTAACTCTTGCGAGTAATGATCTCGGCTAAGAACAAGACATCGGCAAGTAGGAACAATGACCTCGGCTAGGAAGGACAACACTTGACTAAGCTGTGCCACACCTTGGCCTAGATGTGCCACACCTCGTCTAGGTCATACCACTCCGGGACAAGATCACTTGGGTGCAAAGGTAACATCTCGGCCTAGATGATTCACACCTCGGCCTTGGTGATGAACACCTCGGCCTAGATAATGACATCTCGGCCAATATGTCAGGGCAAAGGTGGAGGTCGAACAAAGTGGTTCCAAGATAATTCTAGACATGAAGACGACCTCGGCTAAACTCACACCAAGCAAGGTACAAAACATGCTGTAACACTTAAATGAACAAGGACAAGACTCGAAATGCAAGTTTACAAGAAGAATCACATGAATGCATACGAGTATGGTTAGGATAGCGTGAGGGTTATTACATCCTACCCCCCTTAAAGAATTTGGTCCCCAAACTTGAGTTACCTTGGTTCGAGAATAACTCCGGGTATCGGACTTTCATTTCCTCTTCCATTTCCCACGTAGCATCCTTGCCGTAATGCTCTTTCTATTCAATCTTCACCATCGGTATTGCCTTATTCTCAATCGTCTCACTTGTCTATCGATGATGCGTATCGGCTCTTCTCATAGCTTAGGCCTTCATCAACCACAATCCCGAAATGATCGATCGCGTGTAATGGATCTCATATATACTTTCTCATCAAACACATTATGAACTTGACTTAATCTCGGTGTAAAGCAAGTCTGTAGGCAACCGGGTTAACTTTCTCAAGATTTCAAAGTGGTCCAATGTAACGGGGTGCCAATTTACCCTTCTTTCCAAATCTTGAAACTCCTTTCATCGGCGAGGTTTTCAAGAACACATGATCCCCTATTTCGAATTCTAACTCCTTCCTTCTCTGGTCGACATAACTCCTTTGTCGGCTCTGAGCGGTTTGATTCTCTGTTGGATAAGCTTAATCTTGTCGGTTGTCCTTGAACTAAATCCGGGCCGATCAAAGCTTATCTCCTACTCGGTCCAACATATCGGCGATCTGCACTTTCTCCATACAAGGCTTTATACGCGCGCCATCATGCCAAGCTAGCTTGGAGCTGTTGTTGTAAGCGAACTCTACTAATGGAAAATGCACTTCCCAGCTTCCTTGAAGTCCAATAACACAGTCTAAGCATATCTTCAAGTGTTTGAATTGTTCTCTCGTTTGCCATCGGTCTGCGGATGAAAAGTTGTACTAAACCTCAATTCGGTCCCCAAAGCCCTTTGTAAACTCTGCCAAAATCTAGGAACAAATTTTGGATCTCGGTCCGATAGAATGGACATCGGTACACCATGAGTCTAACGATCTCTTCATATACAACACAGCAAGTCGATCAGCACTGAACAAAAGTCCTAACCGGCAAGAAATGCGCTGACTTAGTTAACCTGTCGATTATACCCAGATCGAATCCATTCCTTTTCTGTGTCTCGGCAAACCAATCACAAAGTCCATGGAATGTCCTCCCATTTCCACTTAGGAATCGGCAAAGGTTGGAGAAGTCCTGCCGGCCTCTGATGTTCCGCTTTCACTTGTTGACAATACAAACACTGAGACACGAACTCGGCTATCTCTCTTTTCATATTCGGCCACCAAAAAGTCTGTTTTACATCTTGATACATCTTGGTGTTCCCTGGATGAACTGCAAATCTGGATCCATGAGAGTCTTGCAAAATCCTTATTTTCAATTCTGGGACGTCGGCCACGCACAATCTTCCTTCGAACTTAAGCACTCCATTCTCAAAGGTGTAACCCGACCTCGGCCTGGTGGTGATCTCGTCGGCTACCTTCTTTAGGAATCCATCCTCTATTTGCCTTGCCTTTACTTCCCCGATGGTAGTCGGCTCCACTGAGATCATGGCTAGGCATGCCAAACTTCCCACTGACTTCCTACTCAACGCGTCAGCTACCGAGTTTGCTTTACCTGGGTGATACTGAATCTGCATGTCGTAATCCTTCAATAATTCAAGCCATCTTCTCTGCCTCGAATTCAGTTTCTTCTGGGTGAACAAATACTTCAAACTCTTATGATCTGTAAAAACTTGGCAAGAGGCTCCATATAAGTAGTGGCACCAAATCTTCAAGGCAAACACCACGGCTGCTAGCTCTAGATCATGGGTTGGATAGTTCTTTTCATGAAGCTTCAACTGACGAGATGCATATGCTATGACTCTGCCCCTTTGCATTAATACACAACCCAAACCCTTATGTGAAGCATCACTGAAGATCTGAAATTCT